CCATGGTCCTGTGAGTGAGGAAGGACAGGGCCTGAGGACCAGGGCTGCCATGGTCCTGTGAGTGAGGAAGGACAGGGGCATTACTGAGGACCAGGATGCTTCTGTCCTTTGAGTATAGAAGGGGCAGCGGGAGGGCTTGAGGACCAGGATGCCTTGGTCCAGCGCATCCCTTCTACTTTCCACTAGGTTCATATTGGAAGGCTAGGGGTTCAATGCCCTGTTCCCTCATGTTCTTCTGTGTGTCTGGAGGATGTTAACATGTTTCCAAGAATACAGTTGCAGGAAGCATTTATAAACCTTTTTGTATGATGCCTGTGCTCCACAGGAATCTGGGCCTTCAGGCCTAGGAAGCATACAAAAGAGGCAGGTGTGTATACAGAAGTTTTTGTCCAGAACTTTGAGCAGGGAAGCTTGCCACATCAGTCAGGAAAGCACAGGAAACTACAATGAAGAACCACTCAAAATATATTCCACAAAGTATTTTACTTCTCATTTGGAATGGCCTTCCAGGCCGGCCTATGAGGTACAGTCTTTGGCCACATATACACTCAGAAGTCATGATGTCACAAAGGGCAAGGTCATTTGCACAGGTGGACCGTGACATCATCAGGAGACAGGACTGTTAGACAATCTGATGAAAAGAACAGTGAGGTCAGCCAGGGTGATGAAGGACACCACCAGGAACTTGTGTGTCCAGCAAAGGGATGCACACCTCCAGGGTTCGCACATGCAGTTGGGGTACCGGCTAAGCAGCAGCCTGTGTCAGGGTGAAAGAGCAGTATGTGCACTTTCCAAGGCAGCAGCTCAGGAGAAAGGGAAGGAAAGGCTTCCTGGTCTTTCCCTAATTGTCCCAGCCAGGCCCCACCCCTGCCTGCACAGCAAGGCAACACTAAACACATGCCCAGATGAACTTCAGGGACAGCACCCATGAGGCATTGTCAAATATTTCAAGTGCCTTGGAGAGCTTAAAACTAGTTGTTAGGACAGCTGGTCTCCTTTCCCACTTTCTTCATTTCTCTTTTCTTTGCTCTCAGGACATAGAAGAAAATTTTTCAGTCTGTGATGTTTAGGATGGTATGAACAAGATTTGCCTTGAAGAGAAAACTTTCTGAGTTTGTGAAAACTTGTTTCCCCTTAGAAATGTACCCTTTCTCCACTGCTGGGTTTATAAATGCAGGTACATAGCCTGGAACCCTACAGGAAAGAGCCTGCCAGGGGAACTCAGTAGCTTATCTGATGGCCAAGGTTCTCAGTTCTCAGGGGAATAAAAACAGACCTTGATCAGGAGGGGACAAGGGTCACAGACAACAGCAGTAACCTGGAGCTCTGTGCCCTGGCCCAGCCAGAGACTCACTCTCACAAAGCTGGCTAGACCCTGCCTACAGCTCCTCACTCCCTTCATCTCTGGATGCCAGCCCAGCCCGGCTGCTCACTACATGCCTGAGCACCCAGGAAAGGGGCCCGTGCCAGAGCCCTGTGATGTCAGGGACATGAGCCTTCCTGGMCACTTTACTGAGGGCGGAGGCTGTCAGGGCTAAACCTGCAGGAAGTCCCTTGGATTCTTCTCCAGCAAAACCCATGGATTTTATAGAACCAGGGTGCACAGGTTGTCACCCCCTCTTAGCCTGCATGGCAGCTAGCTCAGCTTGCCCTGAGAATGTGCGTGGAAGTGTGTACACACACTGATTTGAGCACCTGAGGCCTTCTGTCTAATCCTGCAGAAACATGTGTATACACAATCAAATTAACAACATATACTGATATATAGACACATAAATGTATGCAGAATGCATATGTATGTATTACAGATATTTAATATGCACACATACTCATGTGTACCATACATGGACCTCACCTAACACGGCACCTGCAGAAGTGCTGGCCAGCAGAATGCATGTCCACATGGGTGTCAGAGGATGTGCACCAGCCGGCCAGACGGAGGTCATGCTGTGGGAGGGCACTGCCAGTGGGTCTGGAATCCCAGCCCTGAGGCCATCGCTTGGGTGCTTGCTTGGGGAGGGTGGGCTGCTCCACCCAAGTCTACATGGCAGTGACTTACACAGGGCCGTGCACAGTCACCACGCTTGTTGTTGTCCTCAGGTGTCCAGAACACTGCATCTCCCATTCCAGGCTGGGCCTCAGAGGGAATCAGGCACACTGCGGGGGTAGGGACACACAGTCTGCAGGACCCTTGGCTCCCTTCTGCTTCTCGGCCCTGCCACTGGAAGGTGTGGCCAAATCCAGATAGAACCGCGACTTGAGGAAGCGGCGGTAGGAGTCCTTCTCCATCAGGTTGAAGATCTTTCTCTGGGCCTCGTCAAAGCAGGTCACTGTGGGCTCCAACACATTCCGGCCAGTCTCCTCCCTGGTGTGAGAGTCCAGGTTCACCTGGGGACAAAGACAGAGGCTCCATCAGACCGGATCCCTGCCAAGTCAGAGGTGCAGCTCCGTGCTGGGACGCAGGTGGCTACACCCTGCACCCAGGACACCCAGTGCCATGGGGCACCTGGGAGGTGAGGAGGTCCATCCTGCTTCAGGTGGGAAGAGCAACATCTTCCTCTCTGTCTCCCAGATTGGGGAGATTTATCAGGAAAAAGCTTTAGAGGAGGCAACTTAAGCCCGTGGATGAAAGACATTTCCTTAACAGGCTTACTTGGCATGGTTGAGGGGTGCAATGCATGCTGGGTGGCTTTCCTAGCTCTAGGATCTGAAAACCCCACCCCACACCTACCCCTAGGAGCTCCTCCCAGGTCCAGGAAGACTGCTGGTGGAGAATTACCTCCTTGGTGGCCTGCACAGAGATGAACTCCTCGTAGATCTTCTTGGCCTTAGGGCTGAGCTTGGCAGGTGACTTGGTCTTCCTGTACTCCTCGCAGCTAACCCAGAAGTCAATGTTCTCCTCACTGTACTCAGACTTCAGGAATGCCCTGAACGTGGCCAGCCCACCTGGTACAGGAGAACCACAGCTGTCAGGCTTCAGGCCCTGAGCATCAGACTTCAAACAGATCCCAGTTACACCTAGTGATCCCTAACCAAGGTTCAAGCCCCTTTCAAGAAATTGTTACATCTCAGAGATGTCTACACAGCCATCAACCACCAAGATGGCATTGAAAGAGAAACTGAGGCTAATTCTACAGGAAGATGTCCATATTCAGAATATTTTCTCTTTGCCACTTTTCCATGTGATGAGAACAATAATTATTTCTGTATGAATTTCCACTGTGTATTGCAAAATTCTAGGCACGGTAAAGTGTTTAACAGATGGGATGTGAGAACAAGTTTATCCTGGTCTGGTAACTAGAAAGATACCAACGTTCCTGCAGGTCTCATTAGACCAGCACAAGGTAAACTTGTCTTATCCTGAGTGCCTCTGTCCAGGGTCCCCGGGTAGGAGGGGGCATCAGACTTACATTCATGGGTGATCAGGTTTTCCAGTGATTCCGCCCATTTCTTGACTTCCTCTTGGCTCACCCTAGAGAGATCACAGAGAAAAAGCATAACTTGAATGCCATGATGTAGAATTGGAGAAAGACGTCTAAGATCCTAGGTAATATGCAGAGATGTTATCTTCTGTCATTATAATGAGCTCTGCTGTCAATTAGGACAGTTTTTCACTAAGCAACTGTGACCTCCAGGAGAATGGAGGTCCTCTGGATTCAAACCTTGCCTTCAGGATACAGAGTCCATCCCCTGACACAGACATCTCCTCAGCAGTTGTCATGCACAGCTGATCTTCACCAAGGCCATTTCTCTTACCTCTGGCAAACAGCCACTTTGTCCTTCTTGCTGTGGGCAGAGCTGTGCTCGCAGGAGTCGGACTTCTGCAGCAGGAAGCCTAGCCGGTGCTTCATGTCTTTTGCACTACACGGAGGAGGACGAGGACAGTTAGCAATGAGGCCGTCCCCAAGAGACACCTGTCAGTGGAGCCTGAGGATCTCACTACTGGTGCCAGGGGCAGAGGCAGCTATATAGGGAATGGGACTCAGAGTGGGCAGGAGCTACCAGGAGGACAGGGTCCTAACACTGGCTCCTTCAGCTGTGACCCAGAAGCCTCTTCTGCACACCCTCCCTCTTTTTCAATGTGGCGCCTCTGGTCTGGCCAATGGAACAACACTGGACACAGGACTAATCTTGATTGTTTTAGTTTGAAAGCAAAATACCATGCGTCTTGCTGCACGCCCCCTCCTGGCAGCTGGCTGCTAGTTCATCTGCCTTCCTGCTGGCAGAGGGATACTGGGCACACTTGGAGAGCAGGTGAGTTCAGCCCCACCAGCTGGCCCAGCAGTTGCTATGGGGGCACTGAGCTCACTGAGGTGTGCAGTGCATGGGATGGGGGGTGGGCATGAGCACCGGCTGGGCTGGACCCAAGCTCCTGGAGGACGCATCCAATCTCCAGCTGCCACCTTCCTTTAAAAGCTACACGACCAGGAGGCATACAGGCCAGAGGCTTTGAAAGGAGCAGGAGGCTGGAATTGTCCCTGGAGCAGCTTAGGGATACAGAGCTACAGGCAGCCAGGCTGCAGTGGGTGGCGGAGGAGCTGGAGGAGGACTCCTAGTAAGGAGGGGGAGGAGGACCCCTAATGAGGAGTAGGGAGGAGGACCCCTAATGAGGAGCAGAGAAGAGGACTCCTAATGAGGAGTGGGAGGAGGACCCCTAATGAGCAGAAGGGAGGAGGACTCCTAATGAGGAGCAGAGAAGAAGACACCTAAGGAAGAGCAGGGAGGAGGACCCATAATGAGGAGTAGGAAGGAGGACTCCTAATGAGGAGTAGGAAGGAGGACCCATAATGAGGAGTAGGAAGGAGGACTCCTAATGAGGAGTAGGAAGGAGGACCCATAATGAGGAGCAGGGAAGAGGACTCCTAATGAGGACTGGGAGGAGGACCCCTAATGAGGAGCAGGAGGAGTAACCCTGATGAGGAGTGGGAGGAGGAGCCCAGATGAGGAGTGGGAGGAGGACTCCTCATGAGGAGCAGGAGGAGTAACCCTGATGAGGAGTAGGGAGGAGGAGCCCTGATGAGGAGCGGGGAAGAGGACTCCTAATGAGGACTGGGAGGAGGACTCCTAATGAGGACTGGGAGGAGGACTCCTAATGAGGACTGAGAGGAGGACTCCTAATGAGGACTGAGAGGAGGACTCCTAATGAGGAGTGGGAGGAGGACCCCTAATGAGGAGCGGGAGGAGTAACCCTGATGAGGAGTGGGAGGAGGAGTCCTAATGAGGAGTAGGGAGGAGGACCCCTAATGAGGAGCGGGAGGAGGACCCCTAATGAGG